CTGGGGGGTGTTTAATCAATATTCTGGAAATATACCCTGAGGTGAGGTAATGAATAAAAATCTGTTTCCCTTTTTGTTGCCATTAAAGGCATGTTGACAGTAGAGAAAAAAATTTGAACTCTTGCAATTCTTAAAGTGCTTTATGAAAGCAATTATCCACCTCGAGTTTCTCCACTATTTCTGCTGATCTTCAGCAAGTCCTTTTTAATAAAATGTGAGGATCATTTCCTGTCACTATTGGGCTTTGAAGTTTGATCTCCCCAAAAAGATGACTGTCCTTTGTTAACTGGCCATGCGTGGTGGCCTGTACCTTGTGGGATCTGGATGTTGATCAGTAGTGAAGATTTTTCTATTTTAATTCCAGCAGAAGAAACTTGCAATCAGAACCCAAGGCATAATTCTTCCCTTTTGGGTGGGTGCCAGCCACATGTCCTCTTACCGTCCCCTAGCATGCGTCTAGCTGAAGAAGAAACAGTTCCCTGGGTGCTCTGCCTGCTGAGTGTTGGTGAAGCGCTGTGTTAAGAGTTCCCTGGGAAGGAGTCTTGTTGACCCTTGCAGGTTGCTTCTGACCAATGGTAAGCTGACCCTTAGCAGCTGTGACATAAGAAAGGTTATTTTTTACACCATTCACCCTGATTCCCATCAAGTCACAGCTTCCATGTTCAGACATTCAGTCTTGATTTAGTGTTCTCCATGACACACCCTCTCCACAAACTTACATTCTGGAAAGGATGTTATTAATATGTTAATGTAAATTTAAGTTAATGTCTTCTCTCTCTCAGGGATATGTGCATTTCAAACCGTTCTTCTTATGGAGTGATAGCACCAGCTGACAGCAGAGGTACCGGGGGCCCTTCTGGAAATTACATCATGTTAAACTATCTCCCAGCATGTCTTTTACGGTCTTAGCCTCTGGTCTCATCTCCAGCACACCCCTCCTACCACTTTCTCTCATTCATTTATTCAGCTAATATTTATAGAGCTCCAGTATGTGTCATGTGTCAGGTACACAGGCGCACCACAGTAAGCTAGAGAAACACTCAGTGTCTACTGTCATGGACTTTGTAGTTGAATGAGAGACCCTGTCAAATAATCATCCAAGTGAATGTCAAGTTATAACTGTGGTCGGTGCCACAAAGAGGAGAACAGTGCTGTGTGGATGTCGTAGAGGACTTAGCCAGGAGGCCCAGGAGAGATTCCCTGAGAAAGTTTGACTGAGCTGAGTGGGAGCTAACAAAACAAAAGGAATGGACGGTAGGATGGATTGGTCTCCCAGGACTGCCATAATAAAGTAGCAAAAATTTGGTTGCTGAAAACATCAGAAATGTACTGTCTCATAGTTCTGGAGGCTCTAAGTCCGAAGTCAAGGTTTCAGCAGGGCCGTGTTCTCTCTGAGGGCTCTATAGGGGAGTACTTCCTTGCCTCTTCTAGCTTCTGGTGTTTGCTGGCGACCCTGGGGGTTCCTTGGCTCGTAGATGCACCACTTGAGGTACATGGCTGTCTTCTCTCTTTGTGTCTTCACGTTACCTTCCCTCTGTACGTGTCTGTCTCTGTGCCCAAATGGTCTCTCTGTAATAAGAACATCAGTCATCTTGAATTAGGACCCACCCTACTTACCTCATTTTAACTTAATTACCTATGTAAATACCCTGTCTTGCAACAGGATCACATTCTGAGCTACTAGGGGTTAGAACTTCCACATATCTTTTTTGGGGCCACAATTCAACCCATAACAAGACAAGGAAGAGAGGAGGAGTGTTCTAGGTGGGGGAAATAGCACATGCCATGGTCCTTTGGTGTAAGGAAGCATGGCTTCTCTGGAGTAGAGAGGGAGGGGGCACACGTGTGAGAGAAAGCTAAAACAGAAGTAAAGATTAGTAATTAGGCCTACATTAGGAATTTTGGTCATAATATAAAAACAATGAAATGTTACTGGTGAATTTCAGCAGGAATAAGATGTGATCAGATTTGCTCTTTGAAAAAAAATCACCCTGGCTACAGTATGCAGAATGAGTTCATGACAGCAAGAATGGAGGCAGGTGTGCTGGTTAGGAAGCTCCTGCAATAGAGCAGGTGAGAGAGGAGGGGACATAGAGGGAATTGGTCATAGGAAGTAAAATTAGTGAGCCTTGATGATAAACTGGATGTGGCACGGAGGAAGGAATGGTCAGGGATGATCTGTTTCTAGATTTCTGTCTCATTTGCCTAAATGCATGTAGGGGGCACTGAGCACGAACCAGGTTAGGGGCAAAATGAGCTCAGTTTGGAGATGCGAGGCTTGGGGTGCTCCTCGTGGAATTGTCAGGTAAGCATTGGGAGACCTGAAGCTTAGAGGAAAGGTCCCAGCTGAAGATGAAAACTAGAATCATTGGCGTGTAAGTGATAATGGAAGGCGTGCACGCTGGATGAGAGCACCTACAGAGAAAAGGGAAGAGGGTCTAGGGCAAGAGCAGAAAATGGGCCCACAAAGGAGATTGAGGCAGAGCAGCCAGAGAGAGAAAAGGACAACCAGGAGAGTGTGGCTTCACAGAAGCCAGGGGAAGAGGAAGTGGTCAGATACAGCTGAGAGATCCAAAGAATGTCCATTGGATGTAGCAACATGGAAGTGATTGGTAACCTTACGGAAAGATGCTTTAGTGTGGTGAAATGGGAGGCAGCCAGTCTGGAGGGGCTTGAAGGGTGAGAGGAAGGTAATCAGGACAGTTTGTACAGACATGGCCGCTTTCCAGAAGGTTGGCTGTGAAACTGGAGGAAATGGTTGCTGGAAGTGGAGCGTAGGGCTGTCTTAGCTCAGGCTGCTGTAACAAAGTGCCATAGATGGAGGGGGCTTAAATGACAGGCATTTATTTTCTCACAGTGTGGAGGTGGAAAGTCTAAGATCATGGTGTCAGTGTGGTTGATTTCTTGTGCGAGCTCTCTTTGTGGCTTGTAGTGGTCGTCTTTCCACTGTGTCCTTGCATGGTGGGAAGTGAGAGAGAGGTTAAGTTTTCTGGCGTCTCTTCGTTTAAGGGCACTAGTCTTATCATAAGGGCCCCACCTCCTCTAAAGTTAGTCCCCTTCCAAAGGTCCCATCTCCAAATACCATCTCATTGGGGGTTAGGGCTTTAATATATGCATTTTGGGGGAACAAAATTTAGTCCAGAACAGGAGAGGGTGGCTGGTATTTTTTGTTTGTTTTTGGCTGGTGTTTTTTCAGTAGGAGGGACTTCAGCATGCTAAAAGTTGCAATTGAGGGGTAAAGATTAAATATTTGAGTGAGAGAAGGGTAACTGAAGGCATGCAGCAAGAGGAGAATAGAGAAAACGGCCTTAGAAGAAGAGATGCTCTCTCACTTAACAGGACTCTAGGATTTTGTCCTCTGAGGGATAACAGCAGGGGTGTGGAATTGCACAGAACCACCTCACCTGTGAGTGTTCTCAACTGTCAGGATCTCTCTCCTTAGGTTTATTGCTGCCTCAACCTGCTGCATAGAAGAGGAGCAAACTGTCAGTGTCTCGATATTTTAATACATTTCAAGTGTCAAAGAAAATCATTTTTTACCTTTTCTCACCCCTGGGTAGGGGTAGGGTGGGAAGCGGGAAATAAAGTGATGTTTTCTAGGAAAAGATCTGTAAAAGATGGTGGTGGTGGTGGCAGTGGTGTTTTTCTCATAATCACGGCTTCTGTGCTCCCCTCCCTCCTGTGTACTTCCTCCATCAACAGGAATCAGCATCTGAGGAGCAGGGGCCCTTGGAGTGCTCTTCTATGACACCTGACAGATAGCGGAACCTACCGTCTTCCCTTTCTGGGGCTCCCCTCACACCAGTCCTCTCTCAGATGACCCTTGGAACTGGGCTGATGCTGCAGGCCAGGGCAGGTGCTTTTTACTTCTGTTTGATAGAATCTAGCCTGGCAGCTGCTATAATATAGGAGGACCCAAAGGTCAAGTCTTTAGTAAATCAGTTTGGTAATCAAATCAACACATCATAAGATATGCCACAGGGGCAAAATAGATAATCACTTCCACTTTTAAAAATAAAACTTTATACCCAGTATATCCCTCCTACACTGTTGGTGGGAATGTAAATGGGTGTAGTCACCATGGAAAACAGTATGGAAGTTCCTAAAAAACTAAGAATAAAACTTTCATATAATCCAGCAATCCCACTACTGGACATATATCCAGAAAAGATGAAAACTTAGTTCAAAAAACACATGCACATCGATGTTCCTAGAAACACTATTTACAATAGCCAAGACTTGGAAGCAACCTAAATGTCCATCAACAGATGAATGGATAAAGATGTAGACAGATGAATGGATAAAGGAGATCAAGTAATGTAATGAAATATTATTTGGCCATAAAAAGAATGAAATACCATTTGCAGCAACATGGATGGACCTAGAGATTATTATACTAAGTGAAGTTAAGTCAGACAGAGAAAGACAAGTATCATATGATATCACTTATATGTGGAATCTAAAAAAATGATACAAATGAACTTATTTACAAAATAGAAACAGTCTCACAGACATAAAAAACAAACTTATGGTTACCAAAGGGGGAAAGGGAGAAGGGATACATTAGGAGTTTGGGATTAGCAGGTACAAGCTACTATGTATAAAACAGGGAAACAGAGCACAGGGAACTACATCCAATATCTTGTAATAACCTATAATGGAAAAGAACCTGAAAAAGAATATATATATTCTGTACTTCAATAAAAGAATAAAACTTTCTCATTTTCAGTCACTTCAAGGCACACTTTTTGTATTTTTCTTCTACGGTCGTTAAACATTTTTGTAATTTTTTTCATGCTGTGGTCTAGTTTAGTCCAACCCAGAATGAAGTCTGTCAAGTTCTCCCCATTGTGGTGATGATTCATTTTGTTGTATTCATCATTTCTGGCTTCTGTTTTTTTAATTCTGGGTTTAACTGGTTCTTTATATAAGCATTCCTGAGACTCCTCTGTTTTCCTGTTCTCCTGTAGTTCCTTCTGCATTTCCCAGGTTAAGCTTTGTGTCCTGAATATGCATTTGTGGGCTGGCCTTCAGCTGCACCTGCTTGGCCTTGACACTGCTGATAGTGAGCCCTGCTGGCAGGCAACTCAGGAACATACTAGTTCATACTGGCATGAATGAGCTTAGGATTTCAATGAAAGTCTTCCTTTTTTATATTTTTATGTTTGTCTTTTTGAAAATATTGCATAAGCATTTCCTGAAAATATTCCTATTGTAAAAGATTTTTTAAAATACAGAAATATTTAGAGCAAGAGGAAGAAAAAGTATCTCTTGGGTGGAGGGTATAGCTCAGTGGTAGAGTGCATGCTTAGCATGCACAGGGTTCTGGGTTCAATCCCCAGTACCTCCATTAAATAAACAAATAAACAAATAAACTTAATTACCTTCCCTCTCAAAAAAAAGTATCTCTCTTCCCAGCACTCCCTCTACTAGTTCCATTTGTGATTTCCTAAGTGGAATTGGCATCTTTTCAAAATCTTTTCTGGGTACATGTACCTAAATATCCTAAATATATACTACATATTACATATATTTATATGTGTCTATTTTATATATTTATACATATACACATATTTTATATATTTATATTACATTATATATACAGTATATGTTATATATACATATACACACATTTATGAGACTTCTTTATATTAGCAAGATCATATCATACTTATTATTCTGATTCAGTTTTTCATTTAGTGCTTTTGAAGTCTTTCTCTTTTCCCTTCCTCCCTCTTAGTCTTTTTAATCACTGCAAAATATTCTGTAATATAGATGTATCATTATGTAACCAATTTCATATTGATGTCTTTTGCAATAATTGACAATGCTGGGGTGGTCGGTGTTACCCTTGTATTTTTGTCCATATGTGAAAGTGTTTCTTTAGGTTAGATTCAAAGAAGTGGTATCCTGGGCATATGCACTCAAAGTTTTGGAAAATGTGGCGCTCCCTTTCTGCCCCCACTGTTCCCTCAGCAGGTGATAGAACTCCCTGTTCTAGCTTGAGTAGTCTTCCCAGACTCTCAAAAGAGCCAGTGGGGGTGCTGGAGACAGGGTAGGCAACATGGGCAACCATGCTGTATGTTCCCTTCAGTCAGAGAACCAAGAGAGTTTGGAAATGTGGCAAAAGCAGAGGATCTCAGGAGGAGCTGCCAACACCTGTGTCGCTGGGTGTCCAGGAGGACAGACAGACACCTCACTCTGGAAAGCAGAAATCTAAAATTCTGGGCTTTGAGGAGGACACGGCATGTGCTGTAGTCTTGGTTTGTTTAAATGGAAATTAACTTCTTCTAAGCCTTTACCCAGTTATACAAGTTGAGACAACTGGCTAACTTGTATTTAGGAAGAAAATAGTTTGATTTCTACCCTACATCTTACATCACATGATATTTCAGATAAATCAGAAAAAAATTCACCTTTCCACCATGTGAGGTTACAACTAGAAGGGACTGTCTATGAGCCAGGAAGCAAGTCCTCACAAGACACCAAAGCTGCCAGTACCTTTGTCTTGGACTTTGCAGCCTCCAGAACTGTGAGAAATAATTTTTTGTTGTTTATAAAAAAAAATTAGTAGTTATCTGCTTTGGGGGATTATGACTGATTTAGTTTGATTATTTTTGATTGTCTATGGTTTCTAAATATTTCATTTATTTTTAAAAATTATTTTTAAAGAAGTTAATATTTTCCATGTACTATTTCTAATTCATTGATCTCTCTTCATCTCTTTATGTCTACATATCAGAACATTACCCTCTTTTGTAGAGTCTCCTTTCTGGGGGTCATTTTGGGGAAATTTCAGTGGGTAGAGGTGCTAAGTCTTGCCTTAAAAATATGAAAGAACAGACTTAGAGGTGAGAAAATAGACTAAAATACCCCAAAGTTTTGTAATAAAATTTAATATGATTTAAGACACAAGACATGTATAATGTGTAAATGACTCACAAACGTGTTCCTAGAAATACAATCTGAGTATATTTCTGGCTTATTTTTATTGTGTGTGGATAAATACTGTTGGAGATACACAGGACTATAAGAAATATTAACACCACCATTTTAGCTCCCCTAAATATTTGCGGATTATATTGTGAATTAAGAAAAATGATATCACTGTCAGTAGTCGGCTCTTCTTGAACTGGGAATTAGTTCACTCATGCAATTTATTTTTAATTCACTTGGCTTTACTCAAAATTGTTTTTCTGCAAGTTAAAATGGAGCTCTCCTGCAAAACGAGATTACTCAGACCCCTTGAACATGGTGATTCGCTCCACCTCTTATTTCCATCTTTGATCATAGCTGCAGCACATGGCTTCCAGTGAAGATGGATTTGCTCATCAAGTCTCCTAAAGAAAAAGTGCCGTTAGCCATGTAGATGAATAGTCAGTTTTAATTAGTTTATTACTCTGGGTTTGATGAAACTCTTTAATGGCTATTTGAGATAACTAAGTGGAGGCGGATGGTTGGATATTCACTTATTCTTTCATTCAACAAATTTTATACAGTGCCTACGAGGTGCCAGGCACCATGCAGCTCCCCACCCCCATTCCTCTCTTTCTTCATTCCTACTACGTGCTGACTATGAGGATACAGTCCTGAGAGAGACAAACGTGCTGTCTGCCTTCTGGGACTTGCTGTGTAGCGGAGAGCAAGTCATCTATACAGGTGAACGCAAACTATAGCTGCATGAGAGAAGTGTGTTGTGGCACAGTGGCGGGGAAAAGAGTAAGCTCAGAAAAGACTTCTAGAGGAGAGGAGTCTTGCTGAGTCATAAAAAATGAGGACATGTTTATCATGAAAGGGAATTCATCACCCTGACGGCAATATGGGAGAAAGAGGAGAGAGGAGCTGGACAGGGAGACTAGGTGAGTGATGGTGGGACCTTGGATAAAGGGAGTAGCAGTGGAGGAAGAGAGATGAGGACAGATACAATATGTGGTAAAGAGGTCCTGCAGCCTGGCTTTGAGGAGTAAAAGAAAAGAAAAGGGCCAAGGAAGACTTCCAAATCACAAAAAGCCTTGCAAGTTGTCAGGGAGGGTGGGTATTGGTACAAGGCGACAGATTTGGTACAGATGAACAAACAATTTGAGGCACTTGTGAGACTTGGCTGAGTATCTGTCTGAAGGCAGAGCAGATACTGTGCCAGAAACACATTTGAGAGGCGTCTATACCTAAGAGCGAATACTTGCATTAACAGCTAGAAAACAGTCTAATGTTTTAGACTCTTAGACCCTCATTTTAATTATTATATTGACAGAGACACTCTCTCATTTCCATTATTTCAAATTATTTATCCTATAAAGGAATATTGGCAGCAGTAGATAATCGCAGCCCTGTAATGGCTAACTTTGAATGATATCATCTGCGGAGTTTGAAAATGCAGAGCCCTAAGCCCCACCCCCAGAGAGTGAGTCAGTGAGTGAGTCAGAGACATTTCATGTTTACCAAGTACCCACCTTCCTCACCCTTTTTCTCAGCCCCTGGCAGTGGATGAGATCATGTGACAGCTTCTGGCCAACAGACTGTAAGTCGATGTGCCAGGAGTCGCTGACTGTCTTCTTCACCTGCTGCATCCACAGTAAGAGGCCTTGTCTCCATGGTGGAACCACCAGAAACAGCCTGCGTTCCTGAGCCCCTGCTGAAAACAAGGTGCCCTGGAGGACCCTCGGAGCCACAGTGGACTTTGCATGAGTGAGAAATAAACCTTTCAAGGTTAAACCTCTGAGCTTCTAGTGTGTGTCTGTTACTGCAGCATAGCCTGGCCAGTCCTGACCAATACAGCCTGCCTTCTGCGGGGCCCAGAAGCCAGTTTTATAAATTGCGCTGTTGGTGATCTGGGGCTGAGCCCCACTGAGCACACTTTGTGACAAGTGACCACACTGACCTTTTGTGATCGCATAGGTCTCATGGATACTTTAGAATCTTCCTCAATGCCCAGAATGTTGGCTCTTGCGTAGAGGAGGGTAGCAAAGGGTGCACCCTTTGAAAATTATTAATGGTGTATGTCAGTGAAGGAAGCATGATTCACTGGCATAATTAATGTATTAATCACAGTTTATTGAGCATTTACTATGTGCTGGCCACAGCACTAAGTGGTTCACATACATTATCTCATCACCTCCACCCTTGAAAGGTAGATATAATTGTATACAGGTAGGAAGTGGTAGAGTGGGATTTGAGACTAGTTCTGTCTGATTCCAAACTGGCACTTTGACTCATATGCTCTCAATTCACAAACTCTGCTCCCCTGATGTTTTAGAGCTGGGGTTCTGCAGTTGAGGGTGACTTTAGTGCCCCCACTAGAGTGACTGGCAAAGGTTGTGGTGGTACTAAAGATTGTGCAAAATTAAATGGTAAATGTTTTCTTTAACCTATTTGCGATTTTCAGCTAAGCATTTTTCAGGCTTTGAGGACAGCTATCTGGCACACTTTCAACTTCTCTAACTACAGACGAAGACTTTTGATTTCTAAGGGCTGCAAAGGAAGTTTGCTGTGGGGTTACAATTCCTTCTCTGGGGATCCCAGACTCTACTTTAGAGTTCGCACGTCGATAAACCAAACCAATAGCACAAATTGCCTGTAGGAGATTTTCTTAACAAGTCTCTATGCATTGACCATATGTCAGAAAGTCTAAAAAATAGTCTCCACACAGAAAGACAAACACAGTAAGATCTCACTTACACGTGGAATCTAAAAAAGCCCAGCTTATAGAAACAGACAGTAGATTGGTTGTTGCCAGGAACTGGGGTGTTGGGTGGGGATGAGATAGATGTTGGTCAAAGGGTATAAACTTTCAATCATAATATGAATAAGTCCTAGGGATCTACTGTGCAGCACAGTGATTATAGTTTACAGCACTGTATTATGTATCTGAAAGTTACTAAGAGAGGTCTTAGATGTTGTCACCACACACACACAAATGGTAGTTATATGAGGTGATTAACTAACCTTACTGTGGTAAAAATTTCATAATATGAATGTGTGTTATCATCTTGTACACCTCAAACCCACGTATATTATATGCCAGTTGTCTTTCAGTAAAGCTGGAAAAGAAACAGTCTCCAGATCCTTAGTCTAAAGAGTTCATCCACTTTCAATTCTCAACATCTCAGTGTCCTCGTCTCTTTCAAAGCAGAACTGTCTTTTCTCGTGATTCTAGACTTAATTTAGGCCCAGTCTTCTCCCAAGTCATGTAATTTTGCATTTGCTCCTTCTCCTGGGCAGGTGCCAGGATGGGCCAACTCATGGACACAAAGGGAACAGGCAGAGCCCATTGCAAACCGAGTGCAGCTGATTCGTGGATGGCAATGCAGGAGGCGGGAATGTTTAAGTAATCATAACAACAATAACGCCAGCAAAAAAATGCCTCCAGTGACTTCTCAGTACAAGGAACTGTTCTCCCAACAGACCACGGATGTGCTTTTTAAACTCTGTTAAAGGTAAAATCAGCTGGTGGGGTTAAATGCTGATG